TTTACGATCTTCAAATGGTCTGTTCGTTTATTCTGACATGGTACTAATATGGTAGTGTCCATTTTGCATCGGAATTGGCCCCCACCACAACCATTTCGGTCGCCTTCCTTTTGCCTTCGTCCGTTTTACTCACAGAGGAGATGCTAGCCGAGATGGATCCATCTTCAGTTCCTGTCGAAACTTTAGACTTCCTCAACAGCCAACTCTGCAGACTCGAGCGATTTCCGTACAGGGAATGTGTGAAACGTAACTCGTATAGGTACCTACCTCCTCTGGCGTGGTGCTTAGTGTAGCATGTACAGGTACCTGGAGGCTCCATGAAGTTTACTTGACGATTTCTCCACGCTAACCAGGGTAGATCGGGAATTGCGGATGAATTCCCCGCTCCCACTCTCACCTTTGCTCCGTATGTCGGGGTTACTCGGACCTTCCGGCTTTTATTTTGTTCTCCCGTTTCGCCTCTGACGGGGCAAGTATCAAGCTCGAATTCTTGTATCTTGTTTGGGGCTTGGTTCACCGCGTATATGTGCGAGCTTGGAGTGGGTCGTTTGTCCATTCTAGACTGTGATTTTTGGATTTCTTTGTAGGAAACTGGGCATTATGCTATCATTATGAGATCAGGTTTAATCTCGGCCGGCGAGCTTTTTTAAGGCCGATCTTATTAATCTCGGCTTGTATTTTGTCATGGTCATGTCATGTTCTGTATGTTACTACCGTACATACATGAGCATACCCTGGAGGTATAGTAGTATGTACCTTAGGTACCAAGACGTTGTTGAATAGAGACATGCACATTCAAGGCTCCTGTGCCCTTTGGGGACGTACTGGAACCCTAGTGCGAGACAACATGAGATACACCAATTGCATCATCCCAACACCCCAATCACCAATGCTGGCCAAGCGCAAGCATATGATACATAGCAGAGATCTATATATGGACATGCATACATATCTTTCTGCAGCTCAACAAGCCACTAACTAACGAAGATCACACAATACTATTCATTCGATTTCCTCACGGAATATGCGAATCCTCCATTTCTCCACCCAACTCACCATCGTCGATGGAGGCATTCGACATGTTGATCTCTGAGGGATCGACTAAATCCTAACGCAAGTCTAGTGTCGTTTTCGTGGTATACAACCTATCTCGGGATAGTGTCTACGGATAGTGCTTTAGCCCCAACGGCTTTTTCGTCTCAGCTCTTTTTTCACTTGCCGAAATGAAGCTGAACTTGAACCTATTTTCATTTTTTTTATCCATATTTTTTTTACGTTTTCTTTTTTTTTTCCTGCATTAGGGTTGGGCAACTTGTACCTTAATGTGAATGTTTACACGTGCACATGTAGTCAGTATTATATGGAGATCATTCATCTATTGTATATTTCTGTTCAGTACTCCGTATGCTTTTTCTTTTTCTTCTTCTTCTTTTTTTTTTTTCTATTTTCTATTGTGTCGGGGGTTGGGCGGTTACCGCCGGCAGTCGGTCACTGCTACAGGTGTATTCGAGGTAGTATATGTTTTGCGATATTGAATCTCTGATGATGGTAGTATGTGGTTCACGTTATGTTGCCATCGTGGAGTATTGTCCTACGAGTAGTTTCTCCATTGTCTATTTTGCTCGTCAGCATAGAGTCTTAATATACTCTGATTCTCTCGATAAGAAATATTGCTCGCCCGACTGAAATAATAATATGCCCTACGCCTACGTCTCCGTGGCCATTGGATATAGTAGAATATTCGAGTAGCTGACATTCAGACTTGAGACGTAAGAACCTTGAGCCAGGTTTACCTCTAGCACGTAAGGGGAGCAGGGGTCGCACCGTTCATAGCAAGTTATGACCATAGATAGCTCAAGGGCCTATGTATCTATTATCTCCTATGATGATGATGATGATGCTTTTTTGCGGTCGACTATGTATTCTCCTCCAAAAGTAAATGTTTTGATGAGGCGTTGAGGTGGAAGCCTCCGTAACGGAGTACAAACAATTTATATAGATCCGCGTCCACGGTGAGGATCTCAAGCACGACTTTCTATGTTCGATATAACATTTCTTGCAGTACACGTTATTGGCCCAACATTCGAGCGGCTTAGGCTGTCGACAATGGGTGGATGAAGAGCCGAACGGTCAGAGTTCTGCGTTGGGCTTTACTGACTGACCGGCTTACATTAGTACATGACCATCGTGGATCAGGCTCAGGGTTTCCTGGTAGGGTAAATATTGTGGCAGGGAGCTGGCTAATGGTATGAAATAGCGGCGCCAAACTAACAGTATCATTGAATAGGGGTTTACATTATTGTCAAAAAAGTAGGAATCACCTCCAAGGTACTTACTGAATCCCCAGGGCGGACCATGATCATAGCCGGACACTATATGTAGACACCTTTTTTCTCAGTATGAGCTGCGGAGGAATGAAATCTCTTATTCTGTATGTTATTTGCAGATGAGCTAGAATACATGAAATCCGTCATTCAACTCGAAATTCCCTATGATTTTTTCTTATCTTTTATCAATTTGACCTTTTTTGGTTTTCCTAAATACCACATCCCCCGAACACATTGTGGGATGATCATGCCATGCCGCCTTCCATAGTTGCTATGTGATAGTCCTGTCCAGCCATGCCATAGATTAAAAGACTCAGTTGGTGTGATAGCCGGTAGCAAGTTCGCATCTAATTGGACAATCAGCCGCGGCTCAACATTAGATATGACAAGATACTTACGGATCAGCAGCATACTGAATGTTGCACTGTTCCCAGGACTCGTTGCGGATAAGCACGGCACGGAAGCGAACTGCATCATCGATGCTACAGAAACGGAATATGACGTTGCGTGCCTACATGGATTAATACCAAATACAACATCGTTTCTCGGTAATGAGTACTTACCTCGCCGGGAACGTAGTTGTCCAGGATCTTTTCAACCTTACGATGGTTGCCGGTAGCCAATTCAGAAAGCTGGCACATGGTAACATCAAGGTCAACGCCAACAGCACGGACAGCACGAGTGGCGCCTGTGGACAGGCTGAAAGACAGCTGAGAGCTGACAACGTCGACTTCTTTTCCCATTTCCACGAAGACAGTGACCTTTCTTTCTTTATCAAGATCGATACCGTTGGGGTACTTATTGTAGAAAGCTTTGCACGCTTCGTGTTCACAGAAGAGAACTTGGGCAGTGCCAGAAGGAGTCACAGAAATGCTCTCAATAGTACCGCCGTGAATCAAGGATAGGACCCTTGCAGGAGTCTTCCAGGTGGAGGGCAAGCCCCTGATGATAACTCGTCTGACGCGAGCAGCTTGAGGAAACGAGCCTGTTAGTAAAGATTGTCAGTGCAGGATGGAGATCATGGTCATACCGGGCTTGTCACGGATCTCCGGAGTACCCCAGGTCTCAAAGGTAGTCTGGTGCTCACGGCCCTCTTCTCTTTCGACAGACGCATGAGAAGTGTTGACGAAAGTGTCAGCCGAGACGAACTTGGGTGTGCTGGACTGTTCAGCGACCTCTAGAGGCACAGTCTGTCCAACAAAGCTGGTGAGCGTGCTGTCATTTCCCAGACCAGCAAAATCGGCATCGCTCTTCACCTGAGACTCGGCTGCAGGAAGGAGTGTGAGCAGTGTTTCAAATACATAGCATGTTCAGAGACTTACCAGGAGTATTGGGCTCGTTGGGAGTAGAGGTGAGCACAAAATCATCAGTAGAGGTAGGATTCTTGGCGACGTCATCATGAGACTTGGAGAGGCTGCTATGCTCACTGGACGCGTCTTCCGAAATAGCAACAATAGAGGATGCCTTCCTATACGCGTTTGGGTCGAGTTTCAAAGCCCTAGCAGCGGCCATAAACCCTGCCGTGTCATCGACATCGGCGATAGGATACATCTTTGTGGGAGGCTTTCCACCAGATGAAATGTGTGAGTCGTTAATATTAGAAGGGTAGGAGGATGGGAGTGAGGGAGAGGGACTTGGAGTGTGAAAGACAGGAGGGGTCTTGTAGCCTGCAGCAGATGACTGTTTTTGTGTTATCGATCCACACGTCAGCTCAGGCAAAAGGAAAACTAGTACCGTTACGTTGGGGTATGAGGTGGCGGTTGCTGGGGGAAGAAAGAGAAGGAAAGATGTAAGAGGGAAGGAGTGTGAGTGAGTGGTTCAGAGAGAGAAGGGGAGAGAAAAAGAAAACAAACCGTGGAGGGGCTATTTGCAGAGATCACAATCTCCTGATCCTCTGATGAGGGAGCGTGGCGGCTCTCATCTAAGGTAGGAGCAGCGTTTCTCTCCAAGAAGGACTCGAATACACTATGGATGACGCCGGTGACATTCGAGCTGAACTCAAACGGCCTTGCCATCATGATTTTGAGCTTAAGTGTATCTAAAATTTTGCACAGGACGCTGACCACAGGACTGAATTGGCGCAAGGTGTGATGGATATGTGATAAGAAATTGTACAGCATGATGATGATGCTATGTACGGTAAGGAGCAAAGGGGAAAGGCGCATATAACTAGTGCCTGTAACCTGGAAAGGGGCAATGACGAAGAAGAGGGGGGAAATGGGAGGACGGAGGCCGGGGGAGGTTTATAGGAGTAGTCCAAGGCAAGCATCTGCTACTGACCTGCAAACGATGGCATCAATCTGCAAATGTTTAAGCCACACGGTGAATGAAGAGATGACTGATAAATACTAGTAACTACCGAAGGTCTCCCCGTCAACATCGATCAATGACAATATCAAAGGAAGTAACGCAATATTTGTGATTTAACAAACACACGAATGGCTTTCAAGCTCACCTGTTGTGACAATCTAATTCAGCTTTACATCAGACATTCAATAAAACTTCAGGCTATTATGAGGGAAACTGCTGGATTCTAGTAGTTTCTGACCATTCGTTATGTACGTCTTTTGATATCATTAATGTGTTTCACAAGAATAGTTCGTCATTGTAACCCCATATTCCAGAAAGAGGATTTGCATGTCACTCTCTTCGACAGTGGATCATGTCGAAGGTTCACGTTGGTACCGGTATACTTTCGAACCCGTCCTGGCCCTCTTTGCGGTGTTCGACGATGACCTGGAGCCCTCGTCTTCCACAATAACCGTCATTCCCAGAAATTCGCGTAACTGACTGAAAAGATCCGCCTCCATCGGTTTTGCCATTCGGTACCCAGACCGTCTCCTCAACAGCCTGACCACGAACTTCTGATCGACGAGGGTTGAACCAAGGCATACCCACAAGATGGCTACCAATGCCATGGATCAAAGAGTAGAGTTTTTCAAACCGTCGAGTTGTCCGCAACCAAGACAGAGTGCGGCCGTCGTATGCCACGCGTACGAAGGGGTTCATGTAGATCCCGGTGTCCACGATCTCATCCCCGTTCGATGGCGGCCTTCCGAGGTCGGCATGGATGAGACAGCATTCAGAAGCTTCCCAGAACAAGTCAGGCGCAGAACGAAAACGAACAGGGAATTGTTCTCCTCCCATTTCAACCGCGGGCTTCGCACTGCCTTGAAAGAATCGTGCATCGAATGCCACCATTCCTCCCCAGCAACTGCGGACTCGCACCGCATCCTTTCCTGCTAACACATCCCGTCGACTCTGCCCTCCTCCAGCGGTTGTAAACCAAGGGAAAAACGGAAGGCCCATGCCATAGCCCTGCACATCGCGCGTTGCATATGTATCGTAGAACTTGAACGGGTTGGAAAAGTCAACAGCGCACGCTGCTCGGTATTGAGCGATACCGTCGTCATCCACATTAGTAGAGAACAAGAGATGAAGAGCATCGACAGGATCGAACAAAACGTCGTTGATGTATAGAAGTTTGTCGTATTGCGTTTTAGACTCCTCCAGCGGCCGTAAGGCTCGGTTACGGACCTCAGCCAAATAATCGATACGCTTAGTGCGCTTAGAGCCCCCGGGAATGGTCACCCTAGGCAGGGTGCTCAAGTCGAAATGCTCTTCAATTATAATAGACTTATTGCTTGCGACCTGATTTTCTAGGGCTCGTAGCGCACTCTCCCCCTCTGGTCCGCTGTTATTCTCGTAGATACTTAGGAAGACATTATCCTCTCCAAGCAAGTCGATAAGTTGAAGAACAGTAGAGCCCCATTGTCCTTGCGCTAACTTCCCGCCACGATCATATAAGCTAACAGCTATGAAAACCTTTTCATTGCCAGGGTTCCCTCGGCCAGAGGCGCTTGAATGTGAGACGGCCGATCGAAGTGCTGTATAATGGGGCGGAGGCCGGGTATACGAGGGCCGCAAGATTGCAGTGAGGATAAGAAGAGCAATAACGATACCGATGACGGCATGTAGGTAGAAACAGGCCCGACGAAACAGGATGCGCCGGAAACAGCTGGGTCGCGCCGAAGCCGAGATCAAGGGCCGCGAGGTTTTGAGACGACGGTATCCAGAGTAAGTCGAAGCAAAAAGCCGTGATAGGAAGGGCACCCGGCGCAAGAGTCGCCGGGGTCGAGGTGGAACTTGCGACTCAAAGTCGGCCTCGTCTAAGTTGAAGCTCCCCTGAGAGTCAACGGAGGAGCGAGTTTCCAGTTCATACTCATCGGGATGAAGTAGTCGGGAAGAAGACATGACGAACGATCGTCACATGAAGAATGGAATCATTCACCTAGCCCATATCTGTGGTAGTTGGGCCGAACAAGGACAGAATCACGCTTCTATGGCCAGGTATCAAAAGAAAACTTGACAGTCTAGGCTGAAGCTATTATCTTCCCAAACAGGATGGTTGGCTTATGTCAGCCAATCTGGACCGCCAAGACATTTGCTTAAATCGGTGGTGCGGAGAACAACCAATGGATCACATCATCGACAATTGACTTCGGCGTTCGTTCGGACCTCCCATCCACGAGATACGAATTTAGACAACGCCCCCCCCAAAAGATTGTTTCACTTATATCTATAGACGAAGAAAACATAAAAAAGGAAAAGCCCACATGTCACCGACATGTTCCGTATTCCCACTTCCTATTCCTGCCGAACGCGAGTACGTCGGAAACCCCACCGGCCATAGAGTCATGACTGTCATGATCAAGTACTGTCTTTACTGGGGGAATTGTGGAGCACCACTGTCTAGTGACGTATGCGGAGGTTTATATTCCCTCTTCCTCCTCTTTACCTTTCCCCTTGCTTCTCTTCTCATCTTCGAAAGTTTCATATTCGGGTAAACGTCTTCTGGGTCACGTTCCCATCATCTTTTCTTGTTACCCCCTGCACCTAAACGTTATTTGGGAGACAAAAAAAGAAAGTATCACAGCCACTATGTCAACATTTGCCTTTGCCAACTCTAGCGAAAAGGTCCCTGGTAGTGGGACCCTTCCTGCCGAATTCACAATAAAAGCCTCTCCGGGAACGGATGTATGGTCGAAACCTCCATCCACGGAACGATTCAACGCTCCGATCCTATACCAGAGCGTCCCATTGAACTCATTCAAGCGGGCTAGGGTTGCCTTCAATGCCTTCTGGAAAGACAAATACGACCAGGGTGGACTCATCCTTGTTTTGAACAGCGCAAATGGCCCTCGGAGATGGGTTAAGACGGGTATTGAGCTCACTCATGGTAGACCCCATTTGAGCACCGTTACGAAGGATAGATTTGCGGACTGGAGTTTACAACCGGTCCCATCAGGTGGTGGAGCAGCAACGCTGGAGATCGTTAGAGAGTCAGACAACAGTCTGTGGATCTACTTAGTTGAAGGCGTGCAGAAGAATCCTCTCCGTGAGGTCACCTGGTTTTTCGAGGAGCAGGACGTCCAAGACCTCTGGGTGGGACTATACGCGGCGAAGCCTTCTAACGAAGGTCAGGATCTGGTGGTCAATTTCGGCCATCTAATTGTTGACACGGTTTGATCTGGCGGGCAGATAGGCAAGCCTGGATATAACCATTATATTTATTAGACTCCGTGTGGAGGTAATTTGCTTATTGGACGATCAATTTGTCAACACTTGGGCATACTGGCAGTGCTATGGACATAGAAGCATGCTAGTGTGGCGATATATCTGCAACTGTTACCGTCAACTTGTACCAACGTACTAAGATCAATGATAGTGAGAATAGAGCATGCATTTATAGCCAAAGATACTTCTGTAAGTGAATTGATAGTTGTAGCAGAACAGTTCAAAATTTCTAGAGTCATTTCCAGAGACCCAAGTTACCCTCAAACTAGTCGAGCTGCGATTGATGCTGTGCTTCATATCTGATAGACAATCTTATATGCTGAGATTTTCCCATCCCTATATCTCTGGAAACCATCAGAAACAGCGTCCAATCCAGGAAGCACCTTTGTAACATTTGGCTTGATCGTGCCCTCCTCGAGCCACGGACCGAGTTTTTCAAACAGTTCGCTCGCTAGTTCGTGATCCTTTTCAGATGCCTATAGAAAGAAATTCAGTTTTGGCTATCACAGCAATGACTGCCGACTACCTACCGGCCAATGGAACTTTCCATATCTATGTTCCTTGAGAAATGCCGTCCACACCAGCACGTCTGTAATATGGACTTTCTCGGAGACATCCTCAGTATTTGCTTTGCCAGGTCGCACCGTGCAGATGTTGCTTTGATGACCACCGAACACTTGTGAAGCCGTCAGGGATGAACCTCGATCTCCAACAGTGTCAAAAACATGGTAGATTTTGGGGGCGGCTTTTCGAATCTCCTCCGCCACCTTCTCATCCTTATAATCGAAAACATATTTCGCACCATATGATCGCACTAGTTCTGCATTATGTGGACTGCAGGTAGTGATCACATCGAATCCATAGAGAGACGCGATTTGAATAGAATACAGACCGACACTGGCTGTTTCACACCAGATAACGTTAGAGGATCGGGAATCTCTGAAGTGATAATGGAAACCTTACTGCTACCTCCCCATACCAGCACACTTGTACCCTGTGCTTTGGCACGGTCGAGACTGAGACAATCTGGGGAGAATAATGCGAGCCACGCAGTGGCTGCCGCGAGGGGAACTGTACTAGCATCTTCACGAGAGAGAGTTCTAGGCACTTTAAAGGCAATTCGCTGGTCGGCCAAGCAGTACTCGCTGTATGCGCCAAGTCCCTTGGTCTCGCCTCCCCAGATCAATGCCGCTACGATGTCGCCTTTAGTTAGTCGCGTTACTCCCGCGCCAATTTGAACCACTTCCCCGACAAAATCACAGCCCAGCACGGTTCCGTCGCCGAAAGTATTGCTGTCAAAAGATTGAACTAGGGGTGGATCAGCCTATGCCTTACGTAGAATGGAGATAAAAGAGTAGGTGAAGTGAAGGGCTCCTACCATCTGTTGGGTTTTGAGCTACATGAGACACCTTAACGAGCACCTGTCCAGGGTCTGGTGACGGAATAGGAATTGGTTCTCTAACCAATTTCGGTGATTTGCCTTCGGATACGCGGACGACCAGAGATGAGCTGTATTGAGTGCTCATTATACAATTTGTTGCTGCGATGAATATGTAGAGCGTCGGATTAAGACTAGCAGGAATGGCTTTTCAATTTGGGTTGAATCGGTACACCTTGTTGAGGCGCACGGAGGGCCGAGGGTAAGCATGGTTGAAATACTTATGCAGCAGCACTGACACTTGAGATCTTTGGTAAATTATGCCCTGAAGACAGTTTGACCATTACATACAAGTGGAAGCGCCGCTAAGACTTGGTCATGAGAGTACTAGTATATTGAAGGCACTAGTAGTAGTGGAGGGGCAACCCCACAGATAACGTCAGGATCTATCTTGGTTGCTCCAACGATGTTTGAATTTGAGCATTTGATCCTGGGGATAAAGCTAAACAGTAGTAGTAGTTGACATAGCCCCACGGAACAATTGGTATATGTGGAGCCTCTTGGAGGCGGCTGGACTTAACCGATTTATGAATGGGAGTAACTGTAACCGCCAGTATCGTCTGGTGGACTTGATCTTAACATTGAGACAATGCCTGAATAACTCCAAGATATACTACAGTGCTTAGAAAGAAAGATAGTCATTAATTCTTTCCACTCTCCTCTACTATCATGTTAGAGCGACCAGTATGCTAGTGTAAAAAAAGGTCACGCTCAGGCTGGTTTGCACACCTCATCCTATTACATTTCTTGTTTTGCTCATTTTCCTATCGCCTTTGTGTTTGGGGCTAATCATGTATACATGTATATTCTAGCCTTCGTTGCCGCAGTCGTCGTAGGAAGTGTAGGAAGTGTAGGCGTACCTACTAGTTACTCTGTTTCTGCACTATATGATACCAGGAAAGGTTACTCACTACCAGCTTACGTTTCCTACTGCTACCAGGTGATGGAGCACGCCCCCAGTGTAAGAACTGCGAATCCCGTGGCCACACCTGCCAATGGGGCATCAAGGCCTCGTTCCACAACTCGTAGGTTATCACGTCAGGAAGCGGCTACCTTGACGGCCATTGAGAAGCGATGGCACAGTTTTTTACAATGTCTACAGCGGCCCATACAAGTACATGATCTTGTGATTTTAATTAGTATGTAGTTTAGCCAGCTGTTCAAAATAGGTTGATGCATAACATCTGTCTTTCGATGCGATCGACAAGCGCTGGAGATTATTGATGAGACCGACGATAGTATCCGGGATTATCACCGTCGTCAATAACACACCCTGGCGTTCACCCTCAACTCAAACTCGCAGTTGGGATAATGATGGAAATGTAGAGATTACTGGTGAGGTGCAGGATGAGAGAAACTGCTCTACATCTTCCCAGGATCACACGCTCCCCAGGCCTGAGTCAAACTATATTAGCCTGTCCGAAATCATCCGGCGTCATCATGGCGTTAATTCAAGGCTAACCGGCGGCATCTCTAGTGTTGAGGACCTTTTGTCTCAAAGACAGGAGCTTGAAGTCGCTGTACACCCCATCGTTGAAGATTCTGCTTCGTCTGCTTCGTTGGGTTCCAGGTAGTGTTACTCGTCGACAAATTCCGCAAACCCGACATATATCCTACTATTGCAAGCAGGGTTTATTACAACAACAGTGCAGGCCCGCATGGCTCAGACGGTAAGTACACGAAGCTGCTTGCTACTAAGTTTCTTCTCGCCCTCTTCAATACTATGTATACGAACGCTGGTGCACCTCCTAAGGGGAAGAGCCGTTTGCTCATTTGGAGGTACTAAGGGTGGTAGCTGACTATTTGTTTCAAGATCGACCCCATTTGGCACTCTTGAGAACTGATGGGAATATCCATTTCAAATGTATCACAATAAGCCGCGGCCCGTTTCGACTTCTCCAAGCCTTTTACTTCCCTTCCATCCCCCCACTTCCTTGTCGCCCTAAGCCTTGCTTGCCTAGCGGAGTATAAGGAGGATCACACCCTGGCTAGAGAGAAGAATAGTAACTGAAGATATAAAGGTAACACCAAGGTCAACTAGTGCGAATTGGGTCAACCAACTACAATCTTTATACATCGCAGGCACCGTTCTCGCAGGTTCCCAAAGTTGTTATACGCAGCAGTCAAGGTGGTCATATGTTTGGTCAGAGGTACGTCCTGGACTGTCCTCATTCAATTCCCCTGGCGACCAGAATAGTCACAGTGCATGTTCAGTGGAAGAGTTCGCCGCCGAGAAGATATTGCTTCTCAAGCACGTGGCTCGCATTGAGCGTGAAACGGGATGGAAGACTTCTGACCGTGCGGCCAACCTGAGAAAATCAAGGGGTTTCAAGTAAGAAATGATATCTTGCATTTACAAGATCTGTTGATATATGTTGGCTTGCTAGCCTGGATCTGATGTGGCGCACTACTTTTGCTAGTAAGGTATATGTACCTGCAGAGTCCAAGGTTGAAGTAAGATGCTGTGATCAGTCATTTGTTTAAATTGAAGGTCCAGCCACATGGTTCCACCAAAAACCCGGATATGTGGGACATCCAAGGATATACAACTGAGTTTTATTATGCAGGACGTACCAGAATTTCCATGTGCACTAAGGAGTAGCTCTACTTAAAATCAAGATATTGGGTATGTATGTAATAGCTTCTATCCAACCCAAATAATTGCCTAGCTAATTTTATAAGACTTCTCCGTACTCAGGCTAAAGACACTTTGAGTCTGCGCCCAGGCGAATACCTAGTAGCACTCAAACGTTTGCAGTAAGCTCACATGGTATACGAGCACTGATAACTGGTAGCTCTACTCACTCCATAGAACTTGTACACCATGGCTTGCTTGGATTATACCTGACTACTGTCAACTAAGTTCCACTGTTAGGCACGTAACTTACGTGGAAGCACAAACAATCTACCAACTAATTCAGCAAACCCACTGAGTTGTTCGGACGAGCTGAGTGGCTCTTTGGTATTTTTTTTTTTTTTTTTGCTTTTTCTTTTTTCTACTCCATTTTCTCTTTTCTTTTTGTCCTTTCTTTTATTTGTTTAACTCCCTCCCTCCCTACCTAGAGACCTCAAAATCCGTGTTGACTGGGTGGTCAAGACATTAGTTGTAGGAGTAAGTGGAGATTTTATTTTAACTTCGGCAGAAGGGAACGGAAAAAGAAAACAAGTTCCGTTCAGCTCGCGGTAGTCGCGGCTTCTGGTGGAAATCGGAACATAATTCAATACGTATCCTGACATGACAACGAGGATATTCCTGGTCTACCTCGAGTAGTTATTACTCAGACTGACTCATACCAAGAACCGGTTCTTCAGATGGAGGAGAAGTCGAAAGAGTGAGGGGGAGAAACACGAAAAGCAAAGGAGGGGTTTAAAAAATAAAAATAAAGATAAAAATAAATAAACAAAGAATAATACACAGGAGTAATAATAATAATTAAATAAATAAATAAAAGAGAGAGAGAGAGAAGGCAAAAGACATGACATGAGCTGTTTAGTTGGATGATCCTTTAGCGGTATGACCCGAATGTCATCTCCCCAATCATGAGACTGGGCCGTGTGGGTTTTTGGTCGTTCTCTGCTCTGAGAGATCATTATAATACGTCCAATATAGTTGAATAGGGGCTCCGTATAATATTGCTAACATTCCTAGTTCTTCTCGGCTGTTTTGACTCACTGGACCTAGTCATGCGAACTATTCCAGAAAGACCAATGAAGTCCGACTCAGTACTTCTCGAGTGCTGCAAGGGGGAGGAATGGTGGAGGAGCTTTCATTCCAGTGTGATACGTCAGCTGACTCTCTCTTCCGAGAGGAAGAGACGGCCCAAACACAGACAGAATGGTATTTTTATCTGTTTATATTCCTCCATCCAGGAAACCTTTCATGGGGAAATTAAATGTCACTGCAATCATTCATCCGACTGATGTCCCGATGTAGGGTAAGGAGCCAACCTATAGGAATCCGTAGCTTCCGTTCGGTCCGAACCAGGTGATCTTATCATATCTGATTCTCAAAAGTCTTATCCACCTGCGTAACATCCCTCATCCTGGTCGCTTTGCCACTTCCTCCCCACTTCACCATTTTCGGCTGCAATCCAGTTTTCTTCCCCTGATCAGTCTTGAACTTACTTTGATCCTCTGCGCTTGAGTACACAGACAGGGGACAACTGCGCGATACGCCTGTCCTATACTGCCCCGTGCGCTCACATGTATGACTGAGGGGTCAATGTGCGCTCGAGTCCGAGGGATAAGCTCTGCCACGACTCCGCCGTCTCGGGTGAGGCTTTCCAAGCTGATTCAATTATATCGAGTGGAATAATATAGGCATCACTCTACCAACCCTTCAGCACACCGGAAACCGCCCTACCATTTTGGGCCTCGGGCGTTCGGCCCATAGGCTAAACCTGTGGCCCATCCCACGTCGGCGTGCATAAGTCTTCCTTGTCGGTCGAGTCGATTGGTCTGAAGCACGCCGGGTTTAGAGTCCTGCTTAGAGCTCTGCCCCTTTGTACGATAGATCTGACGATCCGCGTGCCGTCATCCGTATCAGTTACCTAACGAACTTGCGAACCCAATACCCAACCTGACGTCTCACTTAAGTGTTCTTCAATTCGCTCCGGGGTTTTTGTTCTTCGATTTTCTTTTTCCAATAATCCTTCCCCTGTTACATTCTCCATTCATCCCTGAGATACCCTCATTTGATTAGTCGCGTGTTACATTTTCTGTGTCTGGCTGGTTCAGATCGTCCATATCTTCCTTCGTCAACTCAAGTATCTCGGCCTATACACCAAACCTTTCAAACTCGGTTACTTCGATTGTGAGACTTTCAGTGTCGTTCCAACTTTCGTGCCTTCACCGGACGTCACTACCGCTTCGGCAGTCGTATCCGATAAATGGACATTACCCGCGGTGCTGTTGTCAAAGATTCTTCATTGACGTTCTCGGCTCAGCCGCGATGCCCTTACTTGACGCCCACTCAGGTCCCTCATATGGCACACTCGATCAAATGGAGAGGCGCGATCAGCATGAAGGAGAGCAACTCCTTCCCGCGGGATATGAAAGCGACGACCACGGTAGTGAGATAACATCGGATGACTCGATGCAAGAAGGGGTTCGGAAGATTGAAGCTATCAACTTGACCTGGACAACAAAGTCTTTGGTTGTGGCTTATGTCAGGTATGCCTGACATGTACAGCATGGTTGTATTATTGATGAAAGTGGTCTGGGCGCACTGACTCGCTATAGTATCTTCCTTATGGCGTTTTGTACTTCTTTAGAGGGCCAGACCACCATGTCCCTCTCTGCTTATGCCACCAGCGCATTTAGCAAGCACTCATTGATTTCAACTGTTCTTGTTGTCCAGAATGTCGTCAATGGTGGGTAGTTTTCCATTATGCGGTCTGGTCTCCGTCAGCTGACAAGTATGCAGCTGTGATCAAGCCTCCCATGGCTAAGATAGCTGATGTCTTCGGTCGCTTCGAAGCGTTCTGTGTGTGCATTTTTGATATATGTTCTCGGCTATATACAAATGGCTGCTTCGACCAATGTCCAAACCTATGCATCGGCTCAGATATTCTATTCCGCCGGTTCGACGGGTTTGCAGATCCTCCAACAAGTGTTCATTGCGGACAGCAGTAGCCTTCTCAACAGGGCATTTCTTGCACTCTTGCCAGAGTTTCCATTTTTGGTTACAGTTTGGATTGGACCAGCAATAGCTGATGCAGTGATACACCACTCGTCATGGCGTTGGGGTTACGGGATGTGGTCAATCATTTTGCCTGCTTCATTTCTCCCTTTAGCGCTGACATTATTGTTGAACCAACGCAAGGCTAAAAGACTAAACCTCATTAAACAAAAACACATTCCTCGGGGTGGCTTCATTGCTGTCGTCCGCCGCACCTGGTACGATCTGGACATGTTTGGTTTGATACTTCTTTCGGCGGCAGTTACATTGATTTTGGTGCCTCTCACTCTTGCCGCCAATGCTAAAGACGGCTGGAAGAACGACAGTATCCTCGCAATGATTACGGTTGGTATAGTTTGTTTACTGGCGTTGCCACTGTGGGAGACTTCGAAAAGATTTGCCCCTAAACCACTTCTCTCCCTACATCTTCTTAGACAACGCACAGCACTCGCTGGCTGTGCTTTAGCTTTTTGGTACTTCAGTAGGTTACCCCCCGCTACAGCACTCGTGCGTTGCTCTTCTCCTAACATCATCCAGTGGCATTCTATTTTTCGGTTCAACCGTATCTTTACTCTTATCTTCAAGTGGTCCAAGGATATGATGTCGCTACGGCTGGCCGTGTGACGCAGACTTTTGCGTTTACGTCGACCATTGCTGCTTTCTCAGTGTCCTTATTGATCAAATACACACGACGCTATCGAATTTATGTGACCATCGGAAGCGGGATTTACATGATTGGTCTTCTTTTGATGATGCTTTACCGCAAAGAAGGCAGCTCATCAACACTGATTCTTGGGACACAGGTTGTGGTGGGTATGGGAGGCGGTCTCCTCAACGTGCCTGTCCAGCTGGGAGTTCAGGCATCTGCTAGCCATCAGGAGGTTGCGGCTGCTACGGCAATGTTTTTGACATCTATGGAGATGGGTGGTGCAGTTGGCGCTGCGATCTCGGGGGCCGTCTGGACGCACAACATTCCGCGGAAGTTGCGGCGTTACCTCCCTGATGAGAATAAGGGGGATGCTAAGGAGATATTTGGGAGATTGGACAAGGCCCTATCTTTCCCTATAGGATCCCCGGCTAGAATTGCCATTAATCGGTCTTATCAAGAGACCATGAATAAGCTGTTGGTGTTGGCGCTGATCGCGACGATACCGTTAATCCCCTTGAGTCTTTCGATGAAGAATTATAGGCTGGACAAAGTCAACTCCGAACCAGTGGACGGGCCTAACGGGGGCCATCTAGTTCCAGACAATGGACAAGGCCTATTGGAAGACGAATCCGAATCAGAAGGACACTCGAAACAACCGTGAAGTGGTCCCGAATACTTCCAGTCTCTCCAACGCCCTTCGATACGTGTTCAGGGAGACCTCTAATAAATTTGGCATATGGAACAGCCTACCATGATTGTTGCCTGCCATGTTGTACAGGGCATCCGAGCCCCTACATACTGCAACCGGAGGATACCAGTCTACGCGGATGTCCCATCCGGCCCGATCCCGAATCAAGCACTATATGACGTGTCCATACAAGGTTATGCGCATATGCGTCTGCCGCATCTCCGGCTAGAAGCGCCGGGGCACTGTTATATGTTATTGGATATGTGGGTCGACTAGCATTATGCTCCCTCATCCTGAGGGTAAGCGGATTTCAGTATATTAAGTCTCTATATGTTTTCCACAGAGCCGTACATATTTCGAGTCAGCGACTACCTAGAAGTCTCTTTAGGAGTTTATATAGATGTTATGAGATTATGACTAGACTTGGATGAAATATTGCAATGCACGTGCTTTCTTTTGATGTTTTTCTTTGTAAATCCCTCGCCAAACGGATGCGGGTGGCAGTATATCTATACTAGTAGTTCAAAGAGGGAGAGAGGGAGGGGAACAATAAGGTGATTTAGAGGGGACCTATGGATGGGGGCATCAAACAGCCATATTTCTGATACATGAAAGCAATTAGCAAAAGGTGATATCATCGAGTCATGTAATACAGTGCTTGAAGAATGGAGTAGGATCCCCTCATACGTGGTACCGTTCATTTACCTTAATGAACAGCGGTATGTGATGGTTACTAACTGGACTGGTGCATTTACCGCCAGTCGATGATTGGACTGTGACAGTGACACTGCCATGCCTAAGGTTTGAATCCCATTATACCTCGAGGTGGTTGTTCTCCTCTTCTTCCCACTTCTACCATCCCCTTCATTCCTGATAGAGTTGAGCCTGTAGTCCCTCGATTGGATCTCATCTTCTGGGACTTTAACCCTCCTCGGTGGTGGCGTGTTGCGTCCATCAGATCATTACGAAGTAGAAGTACTTCCTACCCTCCCAGGTTGTTTTGCCGCGGCCCCTCTATTTCTCCCCCTCCTTTCGCCGTTCCAAAATAAATTTCGTCTCTTTTTCTCGAGTTTTCCGAGAGCAGAGAATAGAGAAACTGGGAGGGGAAAAGGACTACAAAGTGCTCCAGCGATATCAAGGGCTTTCCCCGGAATTGATCCGTGCGATTTCTCCGTTGGTTTCCCCCCCTCAGGTATATAACTAGAAGGGGAAAAAGAAAAAAGAAAAAAAAAAGAAGGGAATTACAAGGTTTGTGAATCTACTGTTTATATTTCTCATCATTTGTCTCTTTAATTTTTGTGGTCATTTTGCTTTTCTTCTTGTCTTTTCCTTTTTATTTTATTTTATTGTATTATTTCTCGATTCATGTCCCCAGAATGATTTCTGCCTGTCTGGCGGTGCAGTCCCCAATGAAAACGTGCTAGTCGCAGTGTCTAGACAAATAGGCCGACGTGAGCTAACGGTGCGGGTTGCCCCATCCATGGCAGCTTTCTTTCTCTCTACCTAAAGGTACTCTCCGAACTAGTGCTACGGTCCTATCGTCCTCCACCTCTGCCTCCCACATTGGCTACGTCCACCAACCCTTCACCGTCGACATTCACCGCACACCAACCGCCGTAACTTCTGGCTGCTGCCATTCTCATCCAGCGCCTCCTGTAATCCCCCATCTCTCCCTTTTCTATATTCTCTCCCCACAACCATTCAGCAATCGGCTCCTCACACCTCTCCCTATTCTCTTCACCGCATCTTCATCCTTTCATTTCCTCGTCACCTCGGGTCTAGACACCCTTGGAAGATTATCTGCACAGTCACTTTGCAGAGCCTCAGGTAGTTCCAGGTATACAATATGGTTGTCGCCACTATCAAGTACGTTTACTGGCTCCTTTTTAACCACCATTCTCATTGCATCCCTCCCCCCTCCTCCGACTTGCCCCCCTTTCTGATGCCACACATCGGGTCCCTTCTTACCGAGATTGGTTCTATTATCAATCAGCGGTTTGCTAACCATGGTTATTGCTCTTCGTCAGGTGTGTTGTCGTCGGTGACGGTGCTGTGGGCAAAACATGTCTCCTGATTTCCTACACAACAAACAAGTTCCCTTCGGAATATGTTCCTACCGTTTTTGATAACTATGCTGTCACTGTCATGTAAGTGAACCCGATTGCTTCGAGCCGTGACAGGCGCAACGAGTTCCCTGGACAGTTCGCTCCTGTGATATGTTCCGACAGACAGTAGCCTTGATAACGCGTTGGACCCATCGACCCGATTTGTCAATCTCGCAATCAATTGACTAACCCGACGCCTCTATAGGATTGGCGATGAACCGTACACTCTGGGACTTTTCGATACTGCTGGTCAGGAGGATTATGACCGTCTTCGTCCCCTTTCATACCCCCAGACCGACGTTTTCTTGGTCTGCTTCTCCGTGACATCCCCCGCTTCCTTCGAGAACGTGCGCGAAAAATGGTTCCCGGAAGTTCACCACCATTGCCCTGGTGTCCCCTGCCTGATCGTGGGCACCCAGACTGATTTGCGCGACGATCCCGCTGTCCGCGAAAAGCTCTCCCGCCAGAAGATGCAGCCCATTCGTAAGGAAGATGGAGACCGGATGGCCAAGGAATTGGGCGCCGTGAAATATGTCGAATGCTCCGCTCTAACTCAATATAAACTCAAGGATGTTTTTGACGAGGTGAGTCGGGCTAACGCTGTTGACTCTGCTGCTTGCATTATATGCTGACGGAATGAACCAGGCAATTGTTGCCGCCCTCGAGCCTGCTCCTAAGAAGTCGAAGAAGTGCGTTTTGCTGTAACCGAACACACATCTTTCTAGAGCAGGGTTAGTTTGTTCCAACTGTTACCCAGGCCACATCGCTGATGCATACTAGCTACATCGCATATTTCGGGAAGATCGAGGTTTTGAAGCGCATAAAACCAAACTGTTATGGATATCAAGGGTCACAGCTCATGAGTCGATTGCCATCTGTTACCCAATCTCGAGACGATATTTCTAATGATTGCCATCCTCGTATTCTTTCGTTGCCCAATTATGGCATTCATTGATCCGATATACCCTGGGATATTTTGACCTCCCAACTCTGCCGCGGAGACTATCGACGAACCGAACCGCTTTACCTTCATCTTTCAGCCGGCTTGCCTTTGCCATATTCCCATTACCCTCTCCTCCTCCTTCCTTATTTTCTGTCCCTTCCTTCTCTTCCTTTGTCCATCTTCGATTCTCTATTACCACTCATCGTCTCTATTGGCGTTGGAAGTCGAGGCGTCTTGTTTTGGCTGGCTGATGGTATTGATCTGTTTCTTTATATTCGCGATTTGTTGTCACGTCCGCACCTTCTGTCACATTGCTGTGCCATTTTATCATTGTCATGTTACAGTCTTGAACTAGATAGCACAGATACATCAGTGACCACCAAGGCTTTGGTACTCACAGACCATGGCGTAATCAGGTCCAATGTAATGAAGATTGTCCTTATTTGTCGCACACTCCAGCCGCCAGTATCCACTAATGTCAGCTTGGAAAAGAGAACGTGGATGCTATCCAATTGGGATTTTACGATCGGTTCAATGCTTTGACATGTTATGACTGGCTCGTAAAATTGTTCGAGATCATTTCAACCATGTCCATGCAAGCTTTCATAAGACATGATGCTCTCCACCTACTGCCACCGATAACTTTCCAGACTACTGGTGCCTAGCTCAGCATATAGGTCTCTAGACAAGTTCTAGTCAATCCAAGCCGACTCTATTCCATCCGGTAACATGGTTGACTCCGTATCTGTCTAGAAACAATTTCTCGGTCAAGACCTGAAAGAGGTCAGAAAGCTCAGTCATTTACCCTGAGCTCGGAATGCGCTCATCGTCATCTGTCAGACGGTGGTGAATGGGGAGGGAATTTGTTTCTGGCTGAATATACAGAATTAAGGGGTATCAAGATGTAGCTGAGGAACATGTTGTGTTGTGGGGGTGAATCTGTAATTGCAATCATCAGTGAATGCGATATTCTTGTCTATATCTTGCTGACCCCTTTCCCTAGGTGATGACTACTTGTAATACTTGTAATGCTTAATAGGCACATGTGACAATTTCTCTAGTATGGTCGATCAGACATTTAGTATATTCTTTATTACTAACTACACCTGTTTGCACATCAAACATAACTCATTCATAGTGTCATAGTGTCTGGTTTACAGCTCGTCTTTGCCTTCGCTCTTCGCTTCTCCCTTATTGGAAGACGCCTCGATCTTCTCTTCCTTGCGTCCATACCATCCCCCCAATTCTTCGCCAGCACCCGCCTTGACCATGCTAGTGATGATCTCAAAGGCCACCTGGGCAGCCGCGAGAGCGGTGGTTTCTCCTTTATTGTCGTAGCTTGGCGACACCTCGACGATGTCCGCGCCGACAATGTTCAACTTCTCAATACCACGCAGGATCCGAATGAATTCACGGGTGGTCCAGCCGCCAGGCTCAGGGGTACCGGTTCCGGGGGCAGTCGCGGGGTCAAGCACGTCGATATCCACAGACAGATACACGGGTTGCTCCGAATCCAGACCAATGCGCTCGATGATCTTATCCACGACGCCCATGGGGCCTAGGTCGTCAATGTCGTCAGCATGGATGCGCATGAATCCCTGCTCGGGACCCGGGTTAGTGTAGTCGCTATCAGTGACACCCGTCAAACGGGTGCGCAGACCGGCATGAGCAGAGGTTGAGTTGCAAATGAGGCCCTCACGGCTCGCCTTGTGGAAGAAACTGCCGTGGTTAAACGCTGACTGTTCTGATGTCCAATATGCTGAGTAGCGAACGGGGTTCCAGGTGTCCAGGTGCGCATCGAAGTGCAGCACTGTGATGGGCTTCTGGTAGATCTGGTACAGGGCACGGAGAGCCGGTAGTGCAACACTGTGATCTCCTCCTAGGGTGACCAGCTTCGCCTTTCCGGCGGAGATACCCTTAGTGCCGTACTTTGAGTCGACAGGAGTAATGGGAGGTCGTGAGCCTAGCTCAAGGAAGGCTTCGTACATTTGACGCTCCGCTACGCCATTGTCGAAAGGAATAATAGGGATATCCCCACAGTCCTTGACGGTGGCCCACGAGCTGTAGGGATTGATGCCCGCACGGGTGTTGTAGGCTGTGCCGGCCATCTGGCGAGCACTGGCAGCGCGAATGGCACGGGGACCAAAACGAGCTCCTGGGGGCCAGGGTTACCCTCTGCGTTTAGTGGAGGCAAGTTGGATTGCATACCTGGTCTGTAACTGACAGCAGTATCGAAGGGGGCTCCGATGACGGCGATATCATATCGCTCATCTGGTTCGATTAAACATTTGACTGGGTTTAGGTGCGCAAAGCTAGCAATGCCAGAAAATGTCCACTGGGATTTCTCAGTCAGGTTTGCCACCGTATAAGGTAGAGCCACATGCGTACCTCTTGATCCCATTTCTTCAACAGCTCCTCACGCAAGTGCTCGGGAACCACTTCAGTGTCGTCGTGATGGGCGTGAGATAAGGCAGTGCCTGCCAGAGCCAGCAACCCCAAGGTATATTTCATTATGAATTGCAAGGTGTCACGGGCAAGACAAAATAGTTGAGGGGGTTACTTGAAAAGTACAGAGAAGAGGAATTTAATCTGGGGAAGGTTGTTTAGTAGTTATAGGCGCATAGATAGTATGGAGATTGTGAAAGCGTTATCGATAGGAACAACCACCGACCATTCATTCGGCGCCAAAAAGTGGGCTTTGGGGCCTCAGGCGCGCGGAGTATCGTGCGGACTTTCCCTTCTCGTCACTTTTCTTTTAGTTCCAACGTCCGTCGCTCGCTCTTCCTCTTTTCGTCCTCCGCATTTATATTGGTCCGATCTTCGATAGCTGCTTGATTCAGAGCTTGTAGAATCCAACCGAAGCCGATCATATTCGAATCTCGTCTTTAGAACCTCAGGATGCCATGCGGCGTGTTGTCGTGACGGGTTTAGGAGCTGTTACTCCCTTGGGAGTAGGTACGTTGTTCTATATCTTTGCTATACAGTTGTCCAAGTACACTGTTCTGCCCAGATTTCCTTTGGTCCGTGGTTATAAGCTTGTTCTTCTGTCGTGATTCTTCAGTGTTTACTTGAAAGTCTCGCTCGCATTAGTCTCCACTTCCGATATTCCGAAAGGGGAAAGTCTTGGATACCGGGTCCAATCGTCATGGACATTCCTAGTTAGGAAGTTGGATGGAGACCCCTACAGTCCACACGATGATTCCAATCCTCGGGCTTATTATACGCGGATCGCTAAAGTACAGTCACTCTAGGTATCCGTCGCACATGGAAACGTCTGTTGGATGGTCACTGCGGCATTGTTAATGTCAACCATCGCGATTCCAGATTTGCCGACTTACCATGTCAGATTGCCGCCCCAGTGCCGAATGGTAAGAGGCAGAACGGTGGCTGGACTGCCTCAGAATGGCTAAGTAAGGATGTATGTGCAGCGTCTCTTGTTTATCTATATTTGCAGGCTCTTCGAGAGAAGGGCAGATCTGATGCCATTAACAGGAAGAGCGTAAGATGGCGCGTTTCGCCCAGTATGCTTTGGCTGCTTCGGAAGAGGCTCTTGAAGATGCAGGTTGGAAGCCCACTTCGTTTGAGCAGAGGGAATCTACGGTAAACGTCTACAAGACATCATGTATCTCGAAAGTACTGATGGCCGTGTAGGGCATCTGTCTCGGATCCGGAATTGGCAACTTCGATGAGATCTACGACACAGTCGTGGCATATGAAAAAGGGGTATGTCGCAAACGAGTTTTGTATCGCCATTACATCTGTACTAACTCCTTCCAGGGCTACAGAAAGGTGTCTCCTTTATTTGTCCCGAAGCTCCTTATTAACCTCGGCGCTGGCCATATTTCCATGAAGTATGGATTGATGGTATGGCTAACCGTAGCCAGCGTCTTTACCACTGCTAATGGTTCGACAGGGTCCAAACCATGCGGCTACAACTGCATGCACTACTGGAGCACATTCCATCGGTGATGCTGCTCGCTTTATCGCATGCGGTGATGCGAACGTGATGTTAGCCGGCGGCGCTGAATCTTGCATCCATCCGCTAGCTGTTGGAGGCTTTGCCCGGGCACGAAGCCTTGCAACAAGCTATAATGATAATCCTGAAAAGGCGTCCAGGCCTTTCGATGCAGATCGCGAAGGGTTTGTGGTTGGTGAGGGCGCGGCAATAGTTATTTTAGAGGTATTGGTATCACATCTTATATTAATTCACAGTACTAACTTCTAGCTAGGAGCTAGAGCATGCAAAGGCAAGAGGCGCACGTATCTACGCCGAGTTAAGAGGCTATGGCTGTTCAGGTGATGCACATCATATAACAGCGCCCAAGGAAAACGGTGAAGGGGCATTCATGGCAATGAGAAAGGCTCTGAAGAATGCCGGTCTTTCACCATCCGTGGTTGACTACGTTAATGCACACGCCACTTCGACTGTAGTCGGAGATGCAGCAGAAAATGCCGCGATCAAGGCACTCCTTCTTGGCCCGGAAGGAAAGCGCAATGCAGGGGATATAAACATCAGCAGCACCAAAGGTGCTGTGGGTCACTTATTGGGTGGTGCTGGCGCCGTGGAGGCCCTGTTCACCATCCTTGCTATCAATGAGGTAAGTGTCACTATCTGTGCTATGAAATATTCTAATATGCTGTATCAGAACAAAATGCCTCCTACAATTAACCTGGAGCGTCTCGCCATCGGATTCGACTGCAACTACGCCCCAAATCAGACTCAAGAGCGCCAGATAGATGTGGCACTGACTAACAGTTTCGGCTTTGGAGGAACCAACAGTAGTCTCTGCTTTTCCAAACTATAGAGAGTACTCGGTGACATTCGATTGGATAGTTGCGAGCTATGTAACACAACACATACCTGTACACTAAAATAATAACCAGATCAGCCTGTGAAAGTTATAAGCAACTTACTCCCTGATGCTAGAGTAAACTTGCACTGGTTTTTAGAATCGACTGTGACACAGCCTCTCCAGGGGTCAGATTGTAGTCTAGTATGATTTGATATCAAGAATGGGCTTCATTGTCTTATTAGTGGCTGCAAGAACATCAATAACAATGAAGAAGTAGTCGAAGATTATTCTTTACTGAAATACGCGGTTACTAAACCAAAACTCTGTATAATCACTGTCCTCTTGAGTTATTATAATTTACATCGCCGAAAACTGGCCCTTATCCTGGCAACCCGCACGTGACATCTCAATGCGGAGCAGCCCCGGACTCACCTCGACCATATCACACGCACCTCAAACTTCATGACAAAGCAGCGCTCTGCCGTTCGATATCTTATTAAACCATTTCACTCGTTTACAGTCACTATATCTTTCTTTAGTACCAGAGTTGAGTCACTTTCTCCGTCGTTGGTTGGTTGGCCATGGCGACCAACGGTGAGACCAAAGGTAAGATACCACTAAACCCTCCTCGGGCCGAACTGGAGTGGTTACAACATCATATAGAATGAGTTATGCTGATATTGTGCTATGTAATGATAGCTCCGTCGTCCGGCAGCTTAGTTGATGCGTCCGGGTACAAGTTCTCCGAGACAGACACCAAGCTTGGCAAGATTAAGTTGAAGAAGTCGGTTAAGTTGGGCAAGAAGAAAGGTGATGGTATGTTACCCCCTTTCTACTTGGCTTTCATCTTAATTTGTGGGGTGTGGGAGCAGGAGCTGCGGATTATGTATTTGCTAATAGTTTGACGGTGTGAAGATGCGCCCGACTCCCCCGGTTCATCACCTATTCTCCCTGAGATCGACGAGAAGACTATGGTCGCTTTCCCTACGGGCAAACCACGAGAAGAGGATCACTTAGAAACTGTCATATGTAAGACTTGCAAGAGGCCGGTCCTCAAGCAGAATGCCGTGGAGCATATTCGGGGTTGTATTCGAGCGAAGCAGGAGAAGGCGAGGCGAAAGAAGGAGGCGCGTGATGCGGCTAACCGGGCTAAGGCGGGTGATAAGGATGGTGACGAGGATGCCGCGGGCGGCGATGGTGATGATTCCATGAAGGGCCAGAAGAGTGCTAAGAAGAGCGCCGTTAAGGGAATGGCGGAGGATGGAACGAAGAAGGGGAAGAAGCGCAAGACGGAGGGAGAAGACGATAAGGATAAGGAGCCTAAGAAGAAGAAGAAAAAGGAGGAGCCCAAGCCCAAGGTTCCGAAGCCGAAAGGGCCCGTCGATGTCGAGAAGCAGTGCGGTGTTACTCTACCGAATGGTGCTCAGTGTGCGAGGTCTTTGACTTGTAAGAGTCATTCCATGGGCGCGAAGCGAGCAGTCCCTGGTCGTTCATTGCCGTACGATATGTTGCTTCAGGCTTATCAGAAGAAGAATCAGGCTCGCCAGCAAAGTGAGTATTGCCCGTATAGCTGGAGGATACGTTTCCAAACAGAGCTGATCGGTCTTGCTTTTCAGAGGCGGCAATTGATGCCAATGCTCCTCTGCAGGACGATATGGATAACAATGGTCCTGTCGACTCGGATGAAGAGAAAGATGCTGTTATGGCAGCTATCACTCGCTCTCACCCGCAGCCCATCATCACTCATACTCTGATCTCGACTAAGAAAAAATATCAATATGTCCGCATTAAAGAGATGCTATCCCACGCTCTGGGCGGTGCGCGCGGTGGCGGACTCTTTTCAACCGGCGATAGCAATACCATCTCCAATGACGGAAACCTCTTCGCTCCTATGGACGACGTGGTCATGACATCTCCGGTCATTACCAGTGCAGATAACACAGCAGATGTGGACAGTACGACTCCAGCACCAGCTGCGAAGAAACTTTCAATATCGGCGAGCTCCTAGGTAAACATGCTTGTTGGCGTTTTGTGTTGATCTGAGGAGCAGCGATGAGTGATGATCCTTGCTTTCCACTATTTGGGTATGACTACCACATCGTGGAGTCTCAAACGGCGTTCAGGAAACCTACGGAATGGGTCTAATTCGGATTTTTTGTGATGATATGATACCCCGGAGTCCATTGCATGTACCGGCGAGGCTGAGTGTAAATTAGTCGGATGTTTTTATGTTTCGCTATATCTTGATAGACACTGTTCAAGAATTTAACCGTTTGTATATCGACGGTGTCTGAACATTTGTCAATAGTACTGGACCCATTTTGACTCAAAGATATCAAACACGGCTGTACATCTTGTAGATTGTCATATTACCAGGTACGCCCTATAGCTACCCCAAAAAAGGACTGCTTATGCCTGAGGCCACAACAAGCTATCTCCAACCGCGGCGGGATAAAGGCGGGTTTAGCTCCATGTGCGCCCACCGATCTTTTGAAGGCGGAACACATGCAGCTCGCCTTTCACAGCACCCCACCGTTGCTGCAACATTCAGGTCTATTGGGGAAGCTATAGCTTCTGCGCCTACGGGCGGAGGTCTTGATCTGCTCGCACTGAGCTGCAAACAGCTAGACATTTTCACCGATACGCTCCATCTGCGCCACGCACTCCCTAAATTCAGTCAAACCCTTTCGCGATGTCCAACTCTGTTCCCGATCTCGACGCTGTCGGGATCAAGGCAGATCCTGAGCTAGCCGACCAATTTCGCCGTGAAGTCGCGACTCTCCTCGGCCGCAACAACCTCAACTTTCCCGGCGCACAGCCCGTCAGTTTCTCCAGCAAGCATCTCCTCGAGCTCCAACGGCAAGACTACTATGTCTGCGAGAAAACAGATGGCATCCGCTGTCTGATGTACTTTGCCCGTGGCGACCCAGACTCAGAGACACCCGAAATCCACTACCTAATTGACCGCAAGAACGACTACCGCTACGTGCCGGGCTTGCATTTCCCGCTCCCCAATGATGAAAGTTTCCAGTCTTACCACGTCGACACCCTGGTTGACGGCGAGTTGGTGAATGATACATATGAAGATGGAACGCAACAGCTCAAATATCTCGTTTTCGACTGTCTGGTTCTGGACGGACAGAGCCTGATGCATCGCACGCTGGATAAGCGACTTGCGTATTTCAAGGAGAAGGTCCTCAAGCCATATAATGCTCTCTACCACCGCTTTCCCGAGGAGAAAAAACATCGCGTCTTCGCGGTCGAAGACAAATCTACCCAGTTCAGCTACGGTATCGAGATGATGTTCCGAGAGATCATTCCCAAGGTCAAGAAAATTCACGGTAATGACGGTCTCATCTTTACCTGTCGCAGTACACCCTACCGCATCGGGACGGACGAACACATTCTCAAATGGAAGCCTCCGGCCGAGAATACTATTGATTTCCGCATGCGCTTGGAGTTTCCTGTCCTGGAACCTGACACAGATGACGAGGCTGATGGCATTTCCGAGCCGTATACGGATTACGATGCTATGCCTATCTTTCATCTATTTGCGATGCTTAATTCCAACGAGTACCGGCACTTCGCGGAGATGTTTGTCACCCCATCCGAATGGGAAGAGCTTAAGACTCTGGGGCTGCCCCTCGATGATACCATCGTTGAATGTTTTAAGGATGAGCACAATCGCTGGCGCTATCATCGTCTCCGAGACGATAAGGCTGACGCGAATCATATCTCTACCGTTGAGAAGGTCCTTGAGAGCATCCAGGACCGTGTGACGGAGGAAGATCTCATCCAGGCTGCGCCGGCGATCAAGGCAGCATGGAAGAAGCGCCAGGCTCAGATGTCCTCGGAGGACGAAGAGCGGAAACGAAGGGCAAGACAGGCTCCGCCACATGCAAACGGAAACGGAGTAAAAAGGAAGTTCGAGGATTCATAGTTTCCTTCTGATTTTTTTTTAATGTTGAACAAACCTACTTGTTGAGTAGTATTTTACTTGGCTTCGGTTCGGGATTGCAAGGAGTCTGGCGTTGATCTCTGCTTCATGCATATGAACTGGAGAGGGGCTGTCTGTTGGCAAGTTTAAAATGGAGGCTGGCCTGGGGATTATCGTACAAGTGTACTTTCTATAATGCTATGCGCTCCTGCTATTCCAATGACTATTCGCTAGATGGGTTATATCGCACAATATCCAGCTTGATCTTGATAATTCATATGCGATAGAGCACACTCTCTGGTATCGACCAAGCTCCTTTTTCACGTAAAAGAATCCGAAGTCTGATACGTTCAAAGCTCAAAGTTTGATTTTCATTTGGGGCAACAGGTACATTGCTCAGGTATAAAAAACAGGACACAAAAATGTTACATCATATACTCTATCGTTTCTTGATGCTCACGTCAATGTTTCCAATCGCCCATACGGCAGCGAACACAGTCAGCAATCCAGTGGTAATGGTCACGGGCTTGCGCATTCCATCCCAGAAGGAATAATCATAGGTAACCTGTCAAATATTAGCATTCCATCTAGTGAAGCTTAATATAGCGTTGAATGCTTACCACCAACTGAGCATCACGAGCCTCATCGGACAAATTCTCCACCGTCAGGGTCAACGCAGTACGGCCCAATGTGTCCATGAAGGTCTTGTGGGGAGACACATGGGACTTGATCTGATCGGCGGGGGGGAGACCATTGTTGGAGGCAGTCTCAATCGTTTCGTACCGGACGTTACGGGCTCCCTCGGGAAGAATGACCCGAACAACTACTTTCTCATACTGCACACCTTCGGGCATCTTGGGTCCCTCGATGAAAGGAACCTTGAGAACATACGAATTGGCACCGGCCACCCGGCGAAGGAAGGTAGAGAGCTCGCTGTTCCAACCAATACGGAAGCTGTAGTTCCAGCCACCGAAGACGGGATACCGGGGGCGAAGTTCTAAAGATGCATCACGCTTGGGAGGCTTGCCAGGGCGATAGCGGCTCGTGGAGACATTACCGATGTCATCAATGAAGTAGGGGTCCACCGAGCCAGGCTTCAGCGGATACTTAAGTTCACGGATGGCGGAAGAAGGCAGTTGCTGGAAGTTAGTAAGTGTCCACTCAACGCGTGAGAATTGATTGACGAGGCTGGAGCCGTTGTTGCGAAGCCAGTAGCGCTCTTCTGTCGCCAAGTTTCCACCCCAGTGAGATACCTCCAAGTCTCTCTCCAGCAGCGAAGCTGCGATTACCGGCTTGGTAAACTCATAACGAATGGTAATCGGGTAGGCAGTACCGGGTGTGACCTCGGTCGTGTCATAAGGGCCATAAGTGTAAGTTGTGCCTTGACGCTCAGGATCCGAGCCTGACTTGAGGCCGGTGGTAGTGGTATAGTCAGGAATATTGGTGCTAGGAAGCTTCAGTTTCGTCTTTTGGGTCACGGTTGGGTAGGCTGAGTGGATATAGGCAGAAAACGAGTAAGTGAGGTACTGTTTATCAGCCTGGTTGATAGCGGCAGGGCGCGGGCTCAGGGAGGAGAGGAGGTAATAAGAAATTCCCAAGGTAACCTGCGACTTGGGCGCAAGAGGCTCGGGGAGGTCAATGGCAAAGTATTTGGTGTCACTGCTGGATGCGGGAAAAGCAATCCATAGATATTAACTTATATGCTGCAAATAGTGTAGCCAGATTAAGAAACCGTGGCTTCGTCATCACGATTGTAACCAGCCACTGGTAGCCACAATAGCGTACTCACCTGGGTGAATCGACAGACAATACATCCACTACGAAAGGTCCCTTCTCCGGCGCCTTTCTATCTCTCACTTCCAATCCTCCGACCTTGTCGAATATCTCCGATGGGAAGGCCAAGTAGTAGGTGCTCTGGGGCTCATTACCCACGTTCTCCACCACCACGTTGACAGTCTCCCGAGCATAACCTTTCTCCAGGTTGGTATTCCGGACCAAGTTTACATTCTTGAACGTCTGCGGAGGCTGGAAGGAGGAATGGGTCCTCGCGGAGGATTCGGCGCATACGAAGCTGCTGCTTGACAGGAGGAACCCGCAGAGCGCGGCAAATGCTGTAATCGGCCTCATTGTGACGATGGGCGGGCGTGCAACTGACCGCGCCTAGGACACAATGTCTCTCACCAGGAGATGGTCCTATTAAATAAGAAGGAATGAAAAGAAATGGGATGGATTGAACGGGGGGAAAGGGAAGGTAGCGCGGCGAGATTCGGCGTGATGCTGATGTGTCCCGATGCTCTGCTTAGATTCCGGTGACCGCTGCGGCCAAAGACGCTATCCTCTCTTATCGCCGATAAGTCCTACTCCTTCTCCTCCACATTTTCCAGCTACTTCGTTCTCCACTCTTCCTGTCAAGTTACCCTCACAGCATAGCGCCTACCTGATCACTATGCTTGCTTCGCGAGCTGCAGCTCGTCATTGCCGAAGGATAGCAAGGGTACCAGCATTGGCCCCTCCCGCACGACACCTTCATGGCTTCGCGCAAAGCAAGTTTCTTCAGGTCTCGGAGGAAGTTCGCGACGCCGTAGCCACAGGAAAGCCCGTGGTAGCTCTAGAGTCCACAATCTACACTCACGGTATACATCCGCACTTTTATTTTTATCCGTAAGTGGAGAATTGCTCGCTGATCTGCAAACAGGATTCCCGTATCCTGAGAGTGTTGCTCTTGCATCGTTGCTGGAAACCGTCGTACGGGCAAATGGCGGAGTTCCCGCTACAATTGGAATTTTGAATGGAGTGGCCAAGGTGGGCCTTAACGCCGAAGAGCTTATCGAGCTGGCCTCTACCGCAGAGAGCAAGTGTGCACTGAAGGTTTCCCGCAGAGATTTGGGTTATATATGCGGCCTGGTCGGTTAATTTGTGCGCCGCTATGAAGAACGTCTCTAATAATACTAGGGCTTGGCTGGGAAACGACTGCACGGTGGTACAACAGTTTCGGGCACAATGATCCTTGCCCATCTGGCTGGTATTAAGGTCTTCGGGACTGGGGGTCTTGGTGCGTCTCTGCACCGTCCTACGTCTCTTTCTAGAAGCTAATCAATCTTAGGTGGTGTCCACCGTGGTGGAGAGAATTCTATGGATATATCTGGTATGTTCTGCTGGCAAGCTCTAGCGGCCAACATCTAACCGCTTGGTAGCCGATCTCACCGAACTGGGACGTACCCCGGTTGCTGTTGTCAGCTCTGGATGCAAAAGCTTCCTGGACATCCCACGAACTCTGGAATATCTTGAAACCGAAGGTGTTTGTGTTGGGACGTTCGCGGATGGCCGTACGGGCCAGATAGATTTCCCTGCGTTCTTTACGCGTGACAGTGGCATCAAGAGTCCAAAGGTTATTCAAGATGAGGCTGAGGCAGCTGCCATAATATGTGAGTTGGCTGTGCATCTCGTGCTTAGTACTAGTGGCTGACGTTTCAATAGATGCGCAATCAAAACTCCCCGTTTCATCGGGAATGCATTTCGCCAACCCGGTGCCTGTGCAGCAGTCCATTCCCAAAAACGAAATGGATGATATTATTGAGGAAGCAATCCGCCTTGCTGAGGTGGAGGGCCATCAGGGCAGCGACAACACTCCATTCGTACTCTCTAAAATCAAGCAACTCAGTGGCGGCAAGAGTGTTACTGCCAATCGTGCTCTGGTTGAGGCGAATGTGCAGCGTGCAACTCGCGTCGCTGTAGAACTTTCAAAGCTGGAACAGTCCAATGGAACGCTTAATGAACGGTGAGTTACCCTGTGTTAGATGCGACTCGGAATGACCCTAATTTCGAGGTGTCTTCAGGCATATGCCAGCAATTTCCGAGGACGTCAAAGCTGACCAAGCAACTTCAGAGGCAGAGCTTAAGCTCAACCCAACTACTGAAGGACCTATTGAGGCATTGGACAAGGTAGACGTTCTCGTTGCTGGCTCTCTCGCGGTTGATCTTTCCTGTGACTATGCTCCTCCTGCGGGAGAAAAAGACATCAAACCTGTTTCTGATACTTCCAATCCAGCTACCATCACGCAGAGCCTTGGCGGCGTGGGTCACAATGTTGCCATTGCTACCAAGTATCTTGGCAGCTCCGTTCTTTTCTGTAGTGTCGTCGGGGACGATCTAAGTGGCCGTGCAGCCCTAACGGCTCTTCGAAAAGAGGGGCTATCCACTGCTGGCGTACAGGTGCTGCCCGCGTCAAACAGCGCCAGGACCGCACAGTATGTAGCTGTTAATAATGCGAAGAAAGACCTCGTTGTGGCCATGGCGGACATGGGCATTATGGAACTACCAGAGCAGAAGTTGGACTTCGGGGGCTTTTGGGAGACTCTGCTCTCCCGCACGAAGCCTCAATGGGTTGTCGTTGATTCGAACTGGAGCCCTGAAGTCCTTTCCAAGTGGGTCGCTGTAGCCAAGAAACATGGCGCACGGGTTGCGTTCGAGCCCGTATCCAATGCCAAAAGCTGCCGCCTGTTCAGCAAAAGCACCGAGGTAAATGCGGCAATTAGCCCGTCGGCATCTGTCCCCAACAATGCGATCAGCCTGGCGACCCCGAACCAGTTTGAACTCACTACCATGTACATGGCAGCACGTGACAGCGGGCTGTTTGACTCCGAGGGCTGGTGGCACATCATAGATGCGATGGGCATGTCGTCAGCAGGTGCTCGAGACCGACTCGTTGCAATGACATCAAACCAGCTTGTGGATCAAGGCATACCCCAGCAGAGTATCCAACTCCTTCCTTACATCCCCTGTCTCATTACCAAATTAGGGTCACAGGGTGTCCTCGTTACTCAACTTCTTCGCCCCGGTGACCCGCGTCTCACTTCGCCCGATTCTGCCCCTTATATCTTGTCGCGTGCTACACTGGTTGATGAGTTAGTTGGTGGTGTGTATATGAGATTGTTCCCACCCGCGGCCGTACTGGCCGACGAGGAGATTGTCAGTGTCAACGGAGCCGGAGATACGCTTTTGGGGGCGGTAATCTCGGGTCTCGCGAAGGGAGCAAAGACCGTAGAAGATGTCATTCCTTTTGCACAGGAGGCTAGCCTTAGGACGTTGAGGAGTCCGGGGGGTGTTAGCAGTGATATTGTCAGCTTAGTGCGCTCCTGAATCAATATAGAATCACTGTGGATGCGTATAAGTACTATTTGGGATGCACTATATAACGTGGATATAGTTACCACCTAATTGACCATGTTCCGCTCAAAACAAAGCCCTATCGACTCCCTCCCCTCCAACAACAGGAAGTCTCTCCACAATATCCCGTCCCTCTCTGTTCTTCCCAGTAGCCTTAAAACCGTCCGGCACCAAACTCGGGTCCAACAGTCCTATCTGCACCAACACGCTCGCCTGATCCCAATAGATGTTGTGCCGAGCGAGTTTCCCCGCAATGAAGCTAGCCGTCATGATAATCACAACGCGCACTTGTTTACCCGTAGGTGGCACACGGGGCAGCAGCCACGGGATCTCTTCTGTATGCGTGAACGTGAGCAGAAGCTCATCAACTATCCGGTCTGTGCCGGTCGTGCGAGACAAGAGACGAATACTCTGCGACGGTGGTCCAGTAGGGAAGAATTGCGAGGCGTAAAAATTAGTGATTTGAGCCGGGTGTTCTCCTAAAGATCCACACCATCAGCCACGGTCCTCCCAGTACGCAGATCACCAGACCACAGAGGAAAGGGGGGAAAAAAAAGAAAGAAAGAAAGAAAGAAAGAAATAAAAGAAAAGGACGGAAATGTCCGACGAAAAGGAAGTGAAAAGAAAGCACGTACCACCAATTAAGGTAGGAACACAATTGACTATCGCTACCTCATTCAACTCCACCGTCGGGTCGGATTTCTCCCCGTCACTACTATCGCCATTCCCGTTCAAGGGTATACCACCACCACTCCCTACCATCATGTTCACTGTATTGGCCGCATGATGCTCCACCACGTCTCGCCCCGCCTCCTGCCCATTGTAAAACAGATTCCGCCAGTACTCCTCCCACACTGTCTCCACGGCGGGTACCTGCCAGCTCCCTCCGGGCCAACCAAACCCGCGCTTCAGACAATCCAGCGCTCGACTCCAGGCTAGGCGCGAACTGATCACGTCGTGGGTTCTGGCTGTCAACTCCGCGAACCCGGGTTCCGATTCTGGGTAAAAGAAGAGGTGACATCTGTGGCGCTTTTTGCTTGGGTGGCTGTTGTAGTCGTCCCAGAGGGTAGTGGGTTGGTGGCCGGCAAGATGGACTTGAATGGGAAGGATGGAGAGAGTATCATAGCAGGAGGCAGTTGAAGAAGAAGTTGTGGAAGGGGGCACAATGCAGGGGTTGGTCGTTGTGTTGGGGCAGTCATCGAGGCTACTATGGGTATCTGTTCCAGAGATCTGGGGGTAGTATGTTACTAGGGCACAGAGGAGAGGGAAAGGGTTGGTAGCTGTTGTTGGGTGATGGTGGGATGTAAGGAGGAGGTAGGCCGGTTTATTGTATGCTTGGAATGGTTTTATTAGCTGCTAGTATTTGATCGTGGATTCAATGAATAACAAAAAAAAAAAAAAAAGACAACAACATCATAGGGTATCTTCGAGGCTTATGTACGTACCAACAATCGCATATCTCTCCCCCGGCTCGAGATCGTCCTCTCGCTCGTGAATCAAATTATCCAGGTCTTTCCTGTCTCTCTCGAAATCTCCGCTGGACCCTTGGAAAGGAATGTATTCGACGGTGAAACCCTCCGCTTCAAATCGACGGAGAATGTTCGCGTCGAAGTCTGCCGTGTCTGAAGTGACGTACAATCGGCGCAGGATAGGGTTGGCTTTCTTACGTCTATCGCTGCTGAGGCTAGGAGACTGAGAACCTTGGGGAGGTGGTCTGCTAGGGGTGCTGCTGCGACGACGACGATGAATGTGCTGTCGAAGTCGTTCCATTTTCGGGGTGACTTGGAGTTAGGGTTACAGGTCGGTGTATGAGTAGTAAGAAGGGGACCCTTCCTGCGAGTTACCGCAATACTACAAGGTCGGGACAATAGCAACTGCGATCGCAGCCTTTTTCAACGTGTAGATACGGGTGGACAACTACTTTAACACAACGAGTAACTAACAGGTCAGGCAACGTCTCTCACCAACGCTGGGCTGACGTCGACGAGTATTGGCAGAGTATTGGCAGTCTCCATCGTGGCTCCAGCCGAACCCAAGGATGCAACGCAAGGGGAACCGATGTTTCCGTTGCCAAGATAGGGCTGATCTTATTCACATTCAATGTTCATGCATCATTACGCTATGAATATGCGGATTTCCCAGTATGTTGAGGTCGAAAGTTTGTCTATCCACCACGCCACCAATGCCAGTCTATTCAAAATAATAAGAAAAACTATGTACTGATACAATCACCCCCTCATCAGATGGGAAAAAGAAAAAAAAAAAAAAAAAAAAAAGAGCAAGCTCTAAAAACTAGCCAACCATTTTCGTTGCTCCTGCACCGCTTCTGAACAATCCTGACCAGTAAGGTAGCCGACATATGCCTTTCGCAGGAGACTCTGGCGCGCAACCTCACAGTCAATCCGAATATCTTCAACCAAGGCTTCCAGCGACACGTAGTCGTATTCTGGGCGGATATACCCCAGAATCAAAAGGTTAAGCTTGGTGCCGTAGAAGTCGGGCAATTTGTTGAATTTGACTTGACCTGCCTCACCGTTCGCTGTCGGTGATGGCGATGAAAGAGGAGGCATGATATGGATTTCCTATGATCATCAGATCCATACATGATGTCATGTTGGTGAGACTCTAGGCAAGGGATAACATACCACGGATCGAGTGGTGTTCTTGTAGAAGGGATTGTATCCGATACTCAGCACAGCTGGAAGAATCGTCGCCTCCGATGTGAATCTGGACGGATCCAATGCGACTACTCCGTAGTACACCCCGACTTGAAGATCGGGATAGTCTGATAAGCCATCTGGGGGAATATTGGCCGTGGGGATTCCCAGCTGCCTTGGTGAGTTTCCTTGGCATTGAAAAGAAGATGTAGCTATCGAGAGGTGGCGATCGGTAGAGCATAGAATGAAACTACATGAACATACCTCTTTGCTTCCCCGCCCAAACCCTTTGATCACCGGCCCGGATAACTTGATCGGAAACGGAGGCTCTGGGCCACTGTCTAGCCCGGTAACGGGATCCCGAGGACCGTCTGGACGCATTCTCCGTTGATTAACTAGGAAAACAAGTCTATGGACTAACTCCAGCGTTTGCCTGGCGACGAGCAGCAATTGAAAGTGAGCAAAATGGTGGAATGTGGAAGAAGCCCGCGGTATCGATAAGGCGGCGATGCGGGGGTATCGGTTGTGACGGAATCGGTGCATACTGATTGGTGGCATTGGTATGGTATTACGACTAGGTACTACTAGTACTAGTGCTAATACTACTAGTACTACTACTAGTACTAACCTGTAATATCTTCACTATTTGATGCCTGAGGCGGACAGGCCGACACAGCTATGTTATCAAACGATGGAATCGTTATCAAACCCCTGTACTACTTCCTACATACATACCTCTACCTAAGTATGTGGGACATTGCAACTAATTGATTATCCTCCTGCCCCGCGATCATTTTGTTTCCGATCTCTCTCAGGACACCCTTCCTAATCTTTCCACTCCCCGTCACAGGATACTGTCCAACCCAGATGACATGGGCTGGGGCCTTGTGTCGACCCCAGACCTACCATATCCAGTTTTTCACGTCACCCAAAGAAGGCCTGTAACGCTGTGGGGGTTATTGAAGAAATGCAGTAACAATCTCGCCGTATTTATCATCCTTTTAAGTCCGACAATGGTAGCCTGGTCAATGTCAGGGTGCTCTATAAGCCTTTCTTCGATTTCCGTTGGATAAATATTTTCCCCTCCTACTTAACATTAGTCTATCTCCAATACTGACAATACTCAAGCAAGCTGACCCCGGATAATGATGTCTTTGACTCTTCCCTTAATGCGACAGTAGCCTTCTTCATCAACCGATACTTCGTCGCCCGTCTGGATCCATACCACGCCCTTCTCATCACGTACCAGAGCTTCGGCTGTCTTTTCCTCGTTCTTGTAGTATCCCTTCTGTAGAAGATACCCTGATATGCAAAGCTCGCCCCGAGATCCCCTAGGGAGTATGTAGTTCTGGCTGTCGACGATCTTGGCCCGGACGTGAGGGAGTGCTTTGCCCGTGGCTGCTGTCATGAAGCTTCCGGTGGAAGTTTCCGTCATTCCTAGGCCAAAGGTCAGTATAATTTGAAAAAATAAAAACTTAAAGGGCCCAGGTTATAGAAGCAAACCGTAAATGATTCTCACATCCATGAGACTGAAAGTCGCCTGTATTTCCTCCATTAGACTTGGTGCTACCTTCATCCCTCCTACCATACTGGCTCGGACAGTTTTAACTTTCGCCTTTCTTTGCTGGAGCTGCTGTAATATAGCCACGAACGTAATTGGAACACCATGCAATCCGGCACATCCATGGCGTACCAAAGCATCCACCACGGCAGAGGTGTCAAATCTCGAGTGAGAAAAACAATCGTAGCGCCACACGCAAGTGAGCATATTAGACCACAGACGAGACCGAAGGCATGAAACAAAGGTGGCGGGCAACAGACGATATCATCAGGGCTTAGATTCAGACGGGCACCGCACATGCGTCCATTATTGATGATACCACTGCTTGGTCAATGAAACCAAACCGCTTCAACATGCCAACTTGGAGACCTTACAAATGGCTAAGTATAGCAGCTTTGGGGACCCCGGCTGTTCCGCTGGTGAACTGGACATAAGCGGTATCATGACAATGTACCGAGTGCTGCGCGTGTTGTAGGTCTTGCAGTGACACCGAGTTCCCTAAGCGTAGAATATCATCCCAGGTGAGTAACTCAATAGTATCAATATAATTTATTCAGATCAAGACAGTCTGCTTTAGGCCAGGGACTGGGTGGGTCTGTATATGTTGGATGAGAGACCTAGTTGATTTGAAGTTCACCATGTCCCCTATGAAGAGCAAAGAAGCCTCTATTTTAATTAACAATGGAACATCGTGTTGCCATGAGCTCAACTTACCTGTATGTCTGACGGCCCGATCGCACTCCACGGGTATCTTTAGACCCAAATAACTCAGATTATTGGTCCATAAGTTCTTTCAATGTGAGATGACGGAGGGGGCGGCTCTCTAGGTCCTTGGATCATAGATAAAGAAAGGGGTGCCATCTTTGTAGATCAAGATTACAGATTGACTTCAAGTGTAGTTATGGAGTGGAACTGCCTGATCTAGTCAAGCATTTGAAGCCCCTGTGTAGTAGTAAAGCAGTCAAACTGCAATTATGATTGTTTTGCTGGGCCGCACAAGCAACGCTTTACTAAATGGATTTGCCAGGGGGGCTGAAACCCTGCTGCTAATTCGCCTTCCGAAACAGTGTGTAGGTGTGTGGAGTGGGAATGGCCAATTTCTTCAATGCTATGCTTAATGCAGCGGCACATCTACATTCATTCCTTGTATCCAAGTTAATTCACCTTCCTTTGATGGTGGTGAGACTGTCAGTCTCCTTGTTTCACTATAGATACGCTCTCCAGTAATCAGGGGCTAGGGTCGCCTACTTCGCTCGTTCAAGAATATACCACCCTTAATATGTGCAGCCACATATATACAATAGAAAAATCAGAAACAGAGGAGCCCTATAAACAGCTCCTTGGGAATCATACAAACACTTATGTACCAGTGCCAGGATACAAGGGCATAACAATAGAGCCAAGAGAAGCAACAAGACAACAGAGAATACAACATTTTTTGATCCTCCCAGAAGTTGACCGTACATGTGGATTATAGTATCAATCCTTGCATTACCCATAATACAATAAATAAAATCAAATGCATGGCAAAAACTATTGATGGGTCAGTGTCCTCCTATCAGGGGAAACAGAAGAAGGGTTGCTCACATTCATCACAATAAGCATAGGAATGTCAAATACGTCTCGTTTTACTGTCCAGCAGTATGCGCATTCAACTTTGCCGTCTTTAAAGCCCAGCTGGTTCATTCCCGCCTCGCTGGCGATCCCTCCTTTGCGCAGATGGCTGTTCCACCGCTGATTGTCATCTGGCTGATTCTCCATGTCCTCCTTCGTTTTGTATTTCAACAGTTTGCATGTCGTCATGACACTACCACGTGAGTCCCCAAAGGCGAGTCGGGCGAAATCTTCGTAGAATTCCACCACGCTGTCGTCATCAAGCAGCTCAGCCAAGAACACTGGCTGCGGGCGACCAGGAGTGCTTTCCACTACGGAGCCTCGTGGAGTAAAGCTCCGTGATGATGTTCCCGAGCCTGGAACAGAGCCACCTGTATTGACATTCAGGTTGGGCTCCTTACCTAAGAGGACGTCTTTCTTCCACCCGGTAAGGATGCTAAATTCCTTTCCTACAGCCGCAATTTCCCCCGTGCGTCGACAAACGATGGTCGGGGTGCCACACGCATTGATAAAGTCTTCGTATTCGAATAAAGTCCGCTGGAAACATTTCTCCATGAATATTAGGTCGTCCCGGTTCAGAGTCTTGGTCGTCGCAATGAAAGACGGGCGGATCGACGCCAGTGCCTTGGCGATCTGCAAAGTCTTCTGTGGCGAAAAGCGTCGCTGAATGAACGCGGTCAGATTATGGAAACGATTGGTGTAGGCATACGGCTCCTTAACGTTCTCATATATGGATGAGGGGTTCCGTTGGCGTCGTCTAACCCCGACCTGCAAGTTTTGGTGTTTTAAACTCGGTGTCGTGATCGTAGGTCGTGGTCCGTTCGCAGAGAGGCCATTTGCCTTTGCTGTCACAGCACTATTGAACGTATGGTCGTCAAAGCCTGATGTCATTTGAGGACTGGTCGTTGCATTGGGGCTAGCAAAGCTGCCAGGGCCGCTTTCGATCGCAAACGCATGTGGTGCATCTGCTTTAGTCAAGTGTCCGGGTATTACACTTCCTTGGCCGGACTGTGGGTAAACACCCCCAACATTAACATGAGTTTGGCCCGTGGGTTGCCCACTGGACCATTCGTTCAGAAGAGGGTCGCCAAAAATGAACGGCTGCTGACCTCCAGGGCTCTCGCCAAAAGTTGCAGCGCCAGTGATCGGCGTGCCGGAGAATTGAGCCGAGCCACTACGTCCCATCGAGCCTCGCTGGGTAGCGGAATCACTGGGTGAGTCACCAGCTCCAGTAGCCATATGCCCAAGCATGCCAAACTCCAACGCGCCATAGCGATTCTCAAAGTTCATACTGGACAGGTCAAAGTTAAAAAGGGCCGGGTCACTGGGGTCAAAGAAGGGCCCGGCAAATGGGTTTTGGCCTGGGTTTGTCGTGCCGGACACGCCGGTGCTGGGCGGCTGCTGACCAACTTGTGATGAAAGGCTGTTGTTTCGAGCGGCTGGGTTAGTTTTCAAGGTAAAGGTCGGTGAAACAGGGGACTGGGAGGTGAAAGAATTTTGGTTTATAGTATTTTCCTGATAGACACTATAGGAGTTCGACTGCGGCGTGGGGTAGAAATTGGGACTGGAGTTCGGCTGGGTAGTGGCATTAACTGCATTGGCGCCATTTCTAGACAAGGGCAAGTTATTCCGCATCGTGTTATTATAGAAATTCCCGCCAATTCCAGGCATCAACGCTCCATCTGGCGCATCATGAAGATATTTGGCTTTTTTGCGAACCCCATCGTGACACGCATCTTGGAGACCACGTTTGATACACCTTTGACACGGCCTTTCGTCACCTATGCGCAACTCAGTATTAGTATTGACTCGGCCCTCAAACTACTAATCACATGCAGGAATACATCGGTTAGGCCTCTCTGTGCCGCGCATGAGAGCTATGGCAAATGAGAGGAAGGAGGGAGAGGGATGAAAACCATGCGAACAAAACTGAAAAGAGGTCATTCTAGCATACCGCAAGTCAGATGCGCCCGTTGACAAGCAAAGCAAGCCCTCCGTGCTTTCTTCCGTCGCGGTCTTGATGGATCCTTCGGGTTCGGTTTCTGACCAGTTTCCGCAGGTGCATTGCCATCACCATTGCTCTTGTTCTTGGGCTGCTCTGGCTGTTCCCCGACACCTCCGGCCTCCAGTTCAGCTCCTCTGCGATCGGCTGGGGGCGCTGAGGTGTTATCCTGTGCATCCACCGTCATTGTGACATGAAATATCGAAGGCAAGTTGTGCGACCCTTAAAGCCTAGTGCGCGTGCTATTCCGCGGTGTAGCCGATGACAGAAAGGTCTGACCTTGAAAGCCGAAGCGACAACCACCGCTTGCCACACCTATGCTATTCTAAATAAGATCGCGTCGTCGCGCCGCGAGCCAGCGCGCCGGTAGGTATCCAGATTGCCGGCTCGGTATTAATGAAAGTTGTTCCTAATCCGGGAGTAATAGAAAAGCCCTTTTTTGGCGATCTGGGCGCATAGATCCTCGATCTAACGGTTCGTAGAGGCTCGAGAGAAACGGGGCGACGGCGGACCGGTAACTGGGAGCGGAGGACCTTGCGTGCTCGGTTATTGTGGATCAGAACGCAACTCTGAAGTGTTCCACTAATCAACCCGGATCGATAATTAGACAATGAGTCCACGATACAAGTTAGTTTGAATTTCACCCTTTTCGCTTGTACAACTATCACAATCAATCAAGCGTTTAAGTCTTTTTAATTGAGGTAGCGCGGGTGGAGCGAAAGTTTTCTCGGGGCTGCGGGGGGAAGCTCTAGAGCGTCGCCGAGATAGGATTCCGGGGGGTGTATTAACGAAAGAAATAATGCGGGAAATGGCCTGAGATAAGTGGCGTATTAAAATGGGAAAAGACAAGGAGGGGAGAGTTCAACGGTGAGGGGAGAGAGAAAGATGCAAAGATGTTAAGTCTGTGGAAACGCGGGGAAAGATAGGTAGTTAGTAAGGCTAACTTAAGTAGTGGTTGAAAATTTAAAGGGAAAAAAAATTCAAAATAAAGATTAGAAAAAGGATGGACAGGAACTTCTACTTAGTAAAAAAAGAAAAGGGAAAAAAAAAAAAAAAAAAAGAATAGGCGGAAAAGCCACCAACACGAGCAGGTAAAGAGTCGCGTGTCCAGTCTGGACAAATCGAAGACAAGGCGTGTTTCCCTGGTTGAGTCTTTTTAGATGTCGAAAATAACTCCAATCTACAATCATCAGAGGAAGAATCATCACCCTTCATTGAGTTCCTTTGACGATCTGAATTAACTCCCCACGCGAGGTTTCGTTTGATTTCCCATGTTCTGTTTTTCAACCTTCCTTACAACGGAAAAGAAAATGACGGGGGAAAAAAAATAATAATAAAATTTAAATTGGTAATTTTGGTGTCAGCTTACAGGAATAAATAAGTGAGAGTTTTTAGTCTCGCAAAACGAGGG